TCCTTCAGGTCATCAACCTTGGCTCTTGATTGAGCATCTAGAGCAAACAAAATACATGACTCCTCATTCAGTTTTCTCTTGGACCTGGAAACAACCTGGGCTGCTGAGGCACCATTTGCTGTGTCATGGTGAGCAGGTCTTGACTCCACTGTTTCCTTGTGTATTGAGCCATTGCTCTTGCAGGGAAGCGGCTTCACAGAGCTCACAGCACCATTTTCAGAGCTTTTATTTGCACTTGGAATTGTATGTGGATGGTACGGCTCACCATTGGCAGCATTATCTTTTGCAACATGTCCGGAACCATTCTCGAACACTGATGTCTTTGGTTCTTTGCTATGTCTCCCCAATTGAAGCTTGCCTTCTGAAGTACCATTAGCTGTCCCATTTGCTTTAACATGAACCTCAACCCTCCCATTAGTAATTTGAGGAACCATCTTAGAGACAGAGCTGCCTGTAATATTGAACTTTATTGGTGTACCAGAAGTGACTTTGTCGACCTTAGATCTAGCTGAAAAATCCTTGCCAGAAACAAGAGGAGGCTTTGAATACACTGGTTTAGGGGGAAGAGTCGCCTTAAAACCTTTAGAGGTTTCACTGCCATTCTGGTGACATGAATGGACACCATTAGGAGCAAAAGGGGGCTTTTTAATAGATACTGGCTTTGGATTAGTTCGAGAGAAGAAAAGAACATATACTTTCTCGGACAAGACCTCCTCTAAGTTTGACGAAGTGACAAAAGAGTCATTGCAGCAATACCACCGGCCCATCGCATCCTGTGGACAAAATGCCACAATTTAAGTAAGTGGATCATCATCTTGCTTTCATTAACAGTATCAGTAGGCACTATTTGAAAATATACCTTGATATAAGCATAGTAGTGTCCAGACTCGGGAGAGAATCCTGAATGCACTATTGTACCAAAGAGGCTATATTCTGGATGGGGATCCTGAGGGATTGCAAGTACGAAATAAAGCACAATCAAATAGGCAACTCAGTAACATCAATAGTCAGAACAAACGAAAAAAACAAAGTCGCAACAGACTAGAAATGCAGCCAGCAATCAAGCCCATCCTTCGTAAATGTTATTCAAGCACAAGAGGACTAGACAAATATTTGGACAAGCCTAAAGCAAAGTAGGGTGGTGCACTAGAGGAGCTAAAATAACCAAGCCCACTGTATAGAAACATCCACTCATGTCAAACTAGAGTTTGTTTCATAATAAAAAATAGAAACTTTGTTTCCACAGTTAGTTCTAGAGCACTAGGCACAGTTAGTTCTAGAAAGCCCAAAATTTTGTTGTGCTTGTGGCCGTCAAGGACTTGTGATATTAGGACAATACACCTAGTGACTGCTAAGTGCTAAGTAACATCAAGGTGTAACGATACCAATCATATGTTTCTCCATTCCATGCTTGGTCATCAGAAACACCATATATCCATGCAAACAACACAACCCAACTCCTCAACAGTTACCCAGCTCAAGAATAGGCTTGATCTAATTATCTCTATGGTAGTCTCGAGTAACTTAATTTGCCAATAGAACATAATAATTTAGTGTTTCTAAAGCTGAACAATATTTCAAAACTACATGATGGTAAATGCTATGTTCAACTTCCTAAACACTATCGAGCATACATCTAGCACCATGACAAAGTCATGACCAGAGAAGTTTATAATTAGATATTATGAAAAGTTCCAAGGAACAGAGTCTGGTTTTGCAGACATTTAAATAGAGATAAAAAATGGCATTCCTAGTACCAGTGGTGCAGCACAACCAAAGGGGGCTCTCCCATGGGAACTTAAAACTGACTGAGGAAAAATGCAAGAGATATAGTTTCCCGCCCACCGCTTAATTCATCAAGCATTCGCAAATACAATTTATGTTGTGCATTATGCTGCTCCTATCCACTAGCTTCAATAAAACTATTAACCACCGCATCGGCACAGTATCTCCTCAGTGAAGGCTTAAACACTCAGTCAATACAGACTGTGTTCGGATGTAATTATATGCACATAAAATCTGACGTTCACATTCACTCCCACAGGATAGTGACAGTCCACAAATGGTTCTAAATAAAGGAGAAAGATGAACTCTAGAGTGCAGCTAACCATACCTGGCTTGATTTGCACATGAAGCTAGAAAGTACCAAAACTTCTTCAAATGCTATTGTCCTATCGATCTTCCCGCCAAATATGCCCTCAAATCTCTGGAAACCCCACCATCAAACTATGAGTCTCTCTCCTCCAAAAATAATAGCAGAGCATCACCAGAGTTACTGGTGAAATCAAGACCAAAACATAAACACATACTTTGAGTTGGATAACAAGGACATTCGGTGCTTGACTTATTGACATTTGCTTCCTTGCCGCCACCAATTTCTTACAACTAAACAAGCATTAGTCCCCAATACGAATAAAACTACAAGGATAAACTAGAAAACATCAATTATAACAATTAGGTAGTTACCTCTCACATCTGTACTTGTTGTTGCCATCCAGAATCTCTGACTGGAAAAACTTTTGCATGGCCTCTAAAAGCGAACCACTGTGCAAAATGTCGAGACTAATGTCCATAATCTCATCAACCTTATTCGATTCAGAATGACAAGACAAGCACTTCACTTGGCTCTGCAGGGCACCCCCGAATATATCCTTGACAACAGTACTGCCGCCAGCAGGGTCGATGCCCTTTCGCGGCAGTTTCTTAAGACGCAAACAAGTGTTGTGGCATGCATCGATGACATATCGCAGGAATTCGTGGGCATCCTCCTGTCGACCACGTCGAAAATGCTCAGCGTAAATCCGAAGGCAGCTCAGTATCTTGAGCGGGGCATCAAGGTTGACGCCCGAGCTTAGAGACTGGGCTATCCTTTTCTCAAGTATACAAAAGGGGCATTCCCGCTTAAGCAACCCGTTGGAACCTGAATCACCTGAAGGAAGAATTGCCAAAAAACGAACAGGATTCATAAATACCAAACAATTAAAAAAAAATTATGAATACCGAACCATGAATTCTCTGCCCTAAGCAAACAAGTTTCTAGAATGTTGCTCCGAACTCCAACAAAAAGCATAGGGCAAAGTAATAAACTGGAGGCAATATTGCTCTCTAGGAGTCGTATTGCTATTTCGGACGAGAACCAGAGCTTATTGAAGGAAGAGGGAGCTCACAGTGAGAGGAGTGCTGTAACCGGAGGCAGAAATTGGCGAGAGGGGGAGTATAAGTGAGGCACTGGAGGACACTGTTGAGGTAGCAAGTGTTGCCAAGGTTCCTCAGCCCTAATGGCGGTCCATTCTTCCGTTCCTGACTCAACAAACTCTGCTGCCAACTCATCTGCAGTCGCAGGCCGCCCATTCATCTAATCGACACGCCTATATGTTGCCGAGGATCCCCTTGCTTCCTCTTCATTGGGCGGGCAACTACACAGGCAAGCAAGCAAACCGCGCCGCCGCGCCCTTTGTTCAGCGTCGGTTGTTATTCGGCCACCCACCGCCGCAATCAGACAGCCGTCGCCGTTGGTCGCCTCGGCGATTCCCCCAATCGCATCGTCCGCGTTGTTTGTCTCTCTCTCCTCTCTGTGTCTCTCTCTCCTCTTCTGTGTCTTACGGGCTTCTAGCTCTCTCCCTCTCTTTCTCTCTCTTCGAGTTAACTAACTAATTGATAAATAATCCAACACGGAAATACGGGATAGAAATTGTAAATTTAGGGATTTTATTTTTTTAATCTAAGTGGCGGACGCTGCTGCAGGAGACCGGGTGTAAAAGTAAAACCACCCAGTCTATTTGTTCGTTGGCTTTGATATAAGTCCCGGACTCATTATTCCGGCCCAACCATCTAGTGGGCTAAAGGTGTGAGGGGTTGATGGTCTGATGCGTCTTGACCTGCGCTGTAAGGGCCCAGTTAGAGCCGAAAAGCCCGAGTGAACCAGCATACTCGAAAGAAACTGTGAGATCACTCATGACAAGAAGGCTGGACAAAGCCAAAAGAACAGCAGTCAGTCTCAGTCATAGTTGATAGTCCTATTCCCCTTTGCCCTTTGGTAAGTTGTCTTCGGATTCCAGGATATTGAATTTTTGTTCGCATCCTTGGGATTGGGAAGGGCTTAGAGTTAGAGATAATATAGCAGAAAAAGCTGTGAAACACAAATTTCTATGTGGACGAGAGCCAACCAAAGTCCAGTTGATAGGATTTCAGATGCTCATTCATCCACCCTGCAAACACAACAAGCTTCACACTCTCACTGTGAACCATCCCCATCATTTTCCCCCCACACACATCAATGTATAAATTAAGCCCATAGAAGCAGCCAACGGTTCGGTTCAAACCGAACAAAGGTAGGGTATTTGGATGTAATTATAACTCAAAAGGAACTTTTTTTTTTTAATCCCGACTAAGATGCACTTAAGTAAATCAGGCAAACCAAAAAACTATATCAGACAGAAGTAGTCCAGTTTTTATTATAATATCATACTAGAATGACATAAACAATTTATCCTTAGATCTATTGAAACTCAAATAATTGGAATGAATTAACTCGTCATACTAGAATCAGTCCAGTTATTGATCGAGAAATCTTTTCTTCAATTCTTAAGTAATCCCAATGTTAATTGTCGATTTATACGCAACTTATGAAAAGAAAAGACTATGCAAAACTTCATCCTCATACATTGGCGGTGTAAAATACATAATTAAGATTCATCATGCATGTCCCTTATCAACAACCTGAATGAATTATCTAAATAAAATTATTCTCGGTAATTTTTTTCTTTACTTTTTCTTCACAATTTTTATCAACTCAATCCGATTCTAGACCGAAGCAGGTATAGACATATAAATAATATTTTCCCTATCTAGCAATAGCAATGGGGTTTTTTCAGTTTGTTTTTTTTTTTTTTTTGTTTTCTGTTTCTTCTCGTGATTCCAGTTCCAGGCCCACCGATTATTTGTCCCCAAGCAAACCTTCACTTATATGGCCGTCCGAGTGGCTAGGCTACTACACCCTTATCTTTCTTTCTTGTTCCTCCCCCCAACCCACCCAACCCCTCAGCTAAAATAATCTTCTGTAACTGTAACTACTCCTACCCTGCACGCCACCAAGCCGTTGGTATTAGGCTCTGAAAAAGCATGCAAATCCCCTTTCGGTCTTCTTCTTCCTCTGGCTGAATTTGCTTCTCTTAACTCTTTTGCTCTCTTTTGCCTCCACCATCACAGATTGGCTTGTCTGAATTTGGAGTGGGGGCCAGAAAGGGAAGATGGCAACCATAACAAATGTGACCGAGTATCAGGCGATTGCAAAGCAAAAGCTGCCTAAAATGGTGTACGATTACTACGCATCTGGTGCTGAAGATGAATGGAGTCTTTCAGAGAACAGAAATGCCTTCACCCGAATCCTGTGAGTGGCTCGCGCGTGCGTCGTTGGGGTTAACGTGATATTAGAGTAGATCGAGTAGCCTTTTGATGAATGGATTCTTTCTTTTCTTGCTTTGCTTTGCTTGGGATTTGGGTACAGGTTTCGACCGAGGATTCTGATTGATGTGAGCAAGATCGATATGACGACCACTGTGCTGGGATTCAAGATATCTATGCCTATCATGATTGCCCCTACTGCCATGCAGAAAATGGCTCACCCTGAAGGTTATTATTCACTACTCCATCGATCTGCTTTAATTATTTGCTATGCGCTGGAATATTTGCTTTGCTGATCACTTACTTCCATGGACATGGACATGGTCTTGATCAATTTGTGTGTGCAGGGGAGTACGCAACTGCTAGAGCTGCATCAGCTGCTGGAACTATCATGGTTTGTTGTTGTATTCTCTTCTCAGCCACCACTTTTCTATCCAAAAACTCTGCTTTTTTTATCGAGATGGCTGACACCATGAGTTCACGCATGTGAAATTATGACGCATATATATCCTGCTTGGTAAAACATCCATTGAAGATGTTTGTGAAATTTTGATGTTTTCGTGGTCAATCTTTTAAATGAATGGATATTGAGTGCCTGCATAGTACTAATAGGGAATTAAGCAGCAAAACGAGATCTGAAGAGCCAGCCCATGAGTCATAACTCATAAACCAGTTTTGATCGCCAAACTCGTAGTCGAGATTATTGAGATACGTAATCGAACATAAATTAAAGTGATGTCCAAAGAAAAAGTAAATCATTTCAATGGATAGTTCAAGTTTCAAGATATCAAACTTCATGCCCTAAATTTTTAGGTTTAAAATAAATTCTTTAATAACTACCATTTAAATTAGAAACACGAATCATGTCACATCAATTTATCGCATATCCATAATATCGGTAACCTCGAATGTACTTCCTACAAAAATATGCGAAAAATTAGTTTATTGTAAGTCAGTAAGTGTAAATAAAAACAAAATTCTAATTTTAAATATAAAAAAAAAAAACCCCTCGATGGGCCTGCAGACGCTGTCGTCATGGGCTACTTCAAGTGTGGAAGAGGTGGCTTCTACTGGGCCTGGTATCCGCTTCTTCCAGCTTTACGTAAGTCCACCAAAGCCTTCTAGGGGATAAACTTCAATTCAATCACTTTATTTTTCAATTTATAACTTTCTGGTACTGAATTTGTAGGTCTACAAGGATAGGAATGTTGTTGCTCAGCTGGTGAGGAGAGCTGAAAGGGCTGGCTTCAAGGCCATTGCTCTTACCGTTGACACCCCAAGGCTGGGCCGCAGGGAAGCTGATATCAAGAACAGGTCTTTACATGTTATTCGGTCGTTCGTTCGACTTCTTTAGTTTGCTCTATCAGGTCCCTAGAATTGAAAGTTGCTTATATTTTGGGTTCTCTGGTTGATCAGGTTCACACTGCCACCTTTCTTGACACTCAAGAACTTTGAAGGTCTGGACCTTGGCAAGATGGACGAGGTAATTAGCAACTGATCACATTAATCTTGATCTTTCACTTAAACGCATCTAGTAAGTCATTATTAATCATGTTAATTCGCTCTTTGCAGGCCAATGACTCTGGACTTGCTTCCTATGTTGCTGGTCAGATTGATCGCTCCCTCAGCTGGAAGGTTACTTGCTGTGATTTTAGAATAAACCTATATAATCAGTTCATATGATGGATGATTGTGTTTTGCTGATTGTGATAAGTGAAATGTGTATGACTACATGGTGAAATGATCAAGCATTCTTACATTGTAACCAGGATGTGCAATGGCTTCAAACAATCACCTCACTGCCAATTCTGGTCAAGGGTGTCCTCACAGCTGAGGATGGTAAGATACTTGTTTGTTCTTTTTTTAATTATAGTTAATGTTGAGTAGCTCCAAGTTAAGTTTTCCATATTAACGAAGTCTCCAAGCTTCCATATTAACGAAGTCTCCAAATTCTGATTGGTGATGTCTGTATGTAACAGCCAGGATAGCAGTTCAAGTTGGAGCAGCAGGAATCATTGTGTCCAACCATGGTGCTCGTCAACTTGATTATGTCCCTGCTACCATTAGGGCACTTGAGGAGGTATGTGCTTGTACATTTAACCAAGTAATTTCGTACTTCACTTGGCATAAACATAACATCACTATGCATCTGTGAGCTCTCACATACACTTATGATGGGTGATGTAACATTCTAGCCAAATAATGTGAAGCAATTCCAATGACTGCAATTGATGAACACATACTGTACAACCAATGCGCAGGTGGTGAAGGGGGCACAAGGGCGAGTCCCGGTGTTCTTGGATGGTGGTGTGAGACGCGGGACAGATGTGTTCAAGGCATTGGCACTTGGAGCCTCTGGCATATTTGTGAGTTCCATTCAATCTTGTGTTCATAATTAAGCTAGCTAGTTGGCTTTGCTAGCTTGAACAATGCAGTTGAACTCTCACTGTCTTAATTAACGTATATATATATATATATATATAGATTGGACGACCGGTGGTGTTCTCATTGGCTGCCGAGGGAGAGGCTGGAGTGAGGAACGTCCTTCAAATGTTACGCGACGAGTTTGAGCTGACAATGGCGCTCAGCGGCTGCCGTAATCTGGGCGAAATCACAAGAGCCCACATCTTCACTGATTGGGATGCTTCTCCCAGCCACCCTACGGCCAAGCTTTAAAGGCACCCAAGATGCTCTAAGCCAACCACTGGTTTCTTAATTTTTCTTTCCCATTTTCATGGATCCATGAACAGAGACTCGTTTCCTTGCACTTTGGGTTTACTTACAGACATGTGTATCCTTAATTCCTTTGGAAACTTTGATATATCGACCTCCTCCTCCCCATGTGTTCCTTGGTTATAAACGGTTCAAACTCTATATATGCCTGGTTCTAATCATTAATCAATGCCTACCCTGGCTTCCACTTTGTATATCTCATGTGGCCAAGTGTATGTATTCTGTTCTGTTCATTCTAACTCGCTAGTTCCCACTCCGTCCTTCATCGTCCCGCCGTCGTTGGGAGGGGGAAACAGAGCCTATGTATTTGCTTTCAAGCAAAACGGTAGTGTTTGATATTAATGTTTCTATTTTGACTTCTTGAACAACGAATCTAAAATGCTCCACACCTATTTAAACAATATTCAAATGAGAGTGTTTGATATTTTTATAATTTTTTGCGGAATATGCTACGTTTATTACTTCTACTTCTATGGAGCTTCACCGAGGGTTCTCAAAACTAAAGGCTACAACTAATATAATTTGCAGAGAAATTATAAATTTCTAGTCAAATGTTTGGTTGTGACAACGTTTTACAATCTTAATTTCTCCTATTTTATTGTTACTAGCTAGGTGTAACTGCATTGGTGCCGCCTTGGTAACTACTAGTTGGCTTGTTGCTCCAACCGCTTTAGTGACCCCTTGTCACCAAGTCCACTTGGAATTAGTCTCCATATGGCCCCCTCAGGAGCTCTACACCAAGTCATCATCAAGTTGACAACCTCTTAGCTCAGCATCCTGGCCGACCAGCCCCAACCCCTAAAATTTCATACTTAGTCTTGAGGCTATGAGGGTGGTCCATGGCGCATTGGTACCTAGTCGCTTGTCACCTCCTCATAGGCTTGGCAACCTGCAAGTTTGATATCTATATTTAGCTTTTGGGAGGTTTCATAACTTGATATAAAAAATGTCTTGCCAACTTGATATCCTGTTGTCTGGTTACCAAGTCTGTCTTGCCGCCTTGGTATCTCTTTGCTTGGTCACCAAGTCTGTCTTGTTTTCAGACTTAGTTTTTTTAGAGCCGTATTTCATACCAAGGAGAAGAATGCATCGACTAGGCTATGGAGGCAACCGACCAATAGGTCAGAGATAGGGAGTTTGATTATTTAGGTCCAAAAATCCAACCTAATAATACCCACCTAGCTCATTTAATTACTAAATGTTGAGCTTGTCTTCTTAATTTATTTAATTTTTTAATAATTAATCGATGTAGTATAAGTTTGATTTTTTTATGGGTAAATAGTATTCAATGTTGGTTGGGTACAGAGATGCCATGCCGGAAATTGTTTTCCGATCTCTGTAACTTCTCTACTCGTCTATCCCCCTTGAAATTCCTCTTAATTTGGCTTTGTTCAGTCGGCAGCAGTTGATTAATTTTTATTTCCCCCTCTTCTTCACGAGCAGGGGTCATGTTGGGCTCAGAGTCCATATATCGCAAGAAAGTGAGCTTGGGCGGGGTTCGTCCAGCCCATAAAAGTCCAGATCCAGGTCTGTAGGCAGGTGACCAGTCATCAATGTCCAGCCCATTCATTTTGTTGTTTGCGCACAAAATTCCCTACAGGCCAAGAAGCTTTCTTTTCCTCATCGTCAGTTCACCCGCGAATCGGCGATTGCAAAAGCACGGGGGCTGAAATAACAAATTCAAATCCCGGGCGATGGACGGGACTGGAATGGCCGTCGGACAGCGCAAGTACAAGTGCGGCACCGCCGCAGAGACCCTAGAATTTATCAAGTCGATTATGGAATTCATTCGACCTTACAACTAACTTCTTGATCACGGCGCAAGTCGTCAATTTCTTCACGGAAAGACTGTGGGAGGAATGGATGGATTGCTGCGGAACGAACCAGTTCAGCATCTCCTTCTCATTCCTTCCGGTGTAGTTGAGGTAAGGGCCGCCTGCTTTCTCCAGTACAGTAGTTCAATGTAGTTGTTTGGTTATGGTTTTTGTGGGTAATTGCTTTCCCTGGGAGCACTGTCGGCTTCTCTCAAGCAATTCATTCTCACTTTGAGGTCCCTCATGTTGCCAAGGGAGCAAGTGGACCTGCAAAAGGTACATTTACTTTGAGATAAAGTGTTATTGCATCGTTCTTTCTTTTTTGGCTCCATTTTGATGGAGCTTTGGTGAAAGAAAAAAAAACCCACTAGTAGGTTTGTGTCTTGTTCTTGCCAAAATGATTTTATTTCTCTTGGTAGGTTCATCTATTCATCTAATTTTCCCTTCTAATATGCTGCAGTTTTTTCCCAAGCTGAACATGACATCGCTTAGTAGTTTCCTTTCCCAGGCATGAACAAGAAGAAACGACACGAGGTATGCTATTCATGTCTGAAATGGTTATCGATTTTGCTAGTGGCCTGACTTGGAGTACTGCTCGTTGTCTTTAAGAGAACAATGGATCAACCTATTGCTAATTTGATGTAATGGGAGGAAACTATATAGTACGCATTGGTTTTCTCATTTGTTACTCTATCTTTGAATTTTGTATGGTCACATTTCTTTTGCATTGATGTGCAGAAGTGATTTTTGAAGTTGGTGCTGGTGCTGGTTCTGGTCAGGTTTGAACTCCTTTTTCCCTTCTTCTAACAGACTGACATGTATGTTTGAAAACCCACGAGTACTAGCATGATAGAAGAGACTTTGCTTTCCCAACAGCTATTTGCAGAACTTACCGAATTCCTTTGAGAGGGACTTGCAGTTTACTTGCTTTCTTCACTACGGGCATATATGTTTGCTTTGTCATAGCTTTATCAATAATAACATTAGAATTAATCATCATTGTTATCAATTCCTGATTGAAAGGCGCCCCCAAGCTTGTGGATCTTGTCCATTGTAGCATTAGTGAGGATATGAACGATATGAGTGATTTCTAGAAAATTGCTGATTACTACTGAAGCAGTATTAAAATTTTGTTGAATTTGTTTAGTTGTCTGAGATGTTCTGTACGTGTTACATTTAACTCAGGGATACCTGGCACAAGTTCTTTCCTTTCAGTACAATCATCCTGTGGTTGCAATTGATTCTTGTTCTCGTCATGGGAAAGTCACTGAGACAAGGGCTCAACAAATAAGAAAGCATTGTGCTGCTCAAATTCGTAAATTGGGGTATGCAGTGCTCCTGTCTGTTGTAGTTTTGTGGTGTCATAAATTTTCTTTTCAGCATTAACACATTTTACATTATTGGGTTCTTTGCATTATTAAGAAGTATTTAGTTTGCATTTACTGACAACCCTTTCCACATCCCCATGTTAGTTCAGGAATTGGGACATCAGTATACCCAGGACGATAACATGCCGTGTATTGTCGACTGACATGCTAAAAGCCCTGGCTGCCATAGTACCACCAGCTGATGATGTCAAGGAGCCACAGTTCATCAAAGAAGATACAGATGGGAAACCTTCATTGGTACTTGCTGGATTACATGCTTGTGGTGATCTTTCAGTGACAATGCTGAAGTGAGTTATCTTTTTATTCGTGCCATTTATCATTTTCTTTGGTTTGCTAGAAGTTGCAGTCAATTTTGAATGTCGCTTAGTCTTCTCTCTCACATAAAATTCCTCTTTGTTATTTCCCTTTTTCGGTCTAAGTTAGCAGCAATGCTTTGTTCTTGTAAATATTTTTCAAATCTAGCTCACTGATAATGCTATATCAAGGACGTGAATTGTATGGTTTTACTGTTCCCTTCAAGTGTCTTTTTCTGCAAATTTATATTTTTAGTTTCTCGGTACATCTTGATACATGTTCTTACAATTGGACCATGACCTTTTCTGAATGCAAAGATGCTAAAGCTATTATTAGCATTGGTTGCTGTTACAACTTTTTATCCGAAGAATGTTTCATCTCTGCTGGTTCTCAGACCGGATTTCCTGTGAGCAATGGTGTTAGGGCCACCGTCCTTTCTCTGGGGAAAAGTTCCCGTGATCTTGCTTGTCAGTGCACTTATAGTTTTTCTTTCCAATTAGATGTGGTATTGTTCTCCCAATTCAATATGTACATGCAAGCTGTAGGCTAACTATACCCACAGGAGCGTTTAACTGTATAAGAGGAAAGGGTTAAGCTGTTGGGTTGTTTAAGCTTGTCTACCTATATCGAGAGCCACATATTTGTAGTATCACGAGTATCTTGTCCACATTTAGTTTTAGTCTGATGATCTCTAATTCAATATTATCATTGTTCAGAGTGCAGACTGCAGAGAGATGGAGTTGTCTTGACAAAGATGCTGGTCTTCAGAATTTTGATTTGCATGCCTTCAGTGTTGTTTTCCGGATGGTATGAGCTTGGCTGAGTTGGTTTGCACCAACTCTCTTTATGTTATGTGCAGCTTATGTTCTTCAGAGCTGACTTGCTCATAACATTTCATTCCCTGTCAAGGTTCTTCTTAAATACTATCCCGGAATCATAACTTCAAGCCCCTCGGTTGGTCGTCAAGGGAAGCCTTGCGCCGCAAGCAGCAGAGGGAGGTCCCCTATTCCTTTGAAAATGCTGAAGGTAATAAACATTTGCTCTTGGAAACTTCAAAAGGGACAAGCATTGTGTAACACAATGCAGCCTCTAGATTGTAGAATTGGCAAACTCAGTACTCCGGATCTCACTTAAATCTATTCGGCATTTCCTGATAATAAAAAAGAAGTATCTCTTGCAGAACACCGTTCTAACTCAGAACCAAACATAAATTTAGCTTTCGATTTGGTTAATAAAGGACTCAGCTCCAGATAAGTGCACACTATTTGAGAAATTCAGTGTGTCTGGACTCTCTCGCCTTGGTATCGAACCCTTGAGATTGATTCTCATGAAATCTGGAGTAAAGCTCAGCCTTCTGCAGTATGTTGCTATCACCCTGTTTTGGATCTCATCAGTTTCTTTATGCTGCATGTTGTCCTTTATCACCCTTTAACTTATGAGTAAAAATCTGTTTCTCGCCTCACCTCACTTTACTCTCCCTCCTCGTGTTCAATTTTGTATTAAACCCAAGTAAAGATGTCGTTCCAAGTATATGTTTCAATGCTGCATAACAACACAACTGATTACCACTTTGCAATAATCTGCTGGGGCTTATTGGGCCATTCTGGTGTCTTCGAGCTGCTATGGGACCTGTTTTGGAAACTTTGCTAATTTGTCAAGTCATCTCATTATTAGCTAACTATCATTTTCCACTCATGGGAGTTGTTTGAAAGAAGGGAAGAACTAGCATCCCTTGTACTTTGGATGGATGGAGGAGTCGCTATGGTCGTTAATTAGGACGTACTTATTAGGTGTGGATCGATCTAATAAGCAATGAATTCAGTCCGAATGATTGGCGGGGACGAATTACTGCCATAGTATGGGGACTTGTTTGTGGAGATGGTTATAGTATAGGGACTGCAAATTTCATCAGCCTTTGTTGTGGGGGATGATGTTTGAAGTTTGATGAGAAGTTGCACACTTGCAGGCAGTAAAGTCTTTGTCAGCTGTTCCCAGGGAGGGATAGAATAGAATAATAAGGTAGTAACGAGGATTGGAATTCCGGTCATCATAGGGACATCCCACCCGTCCACAAAACATATTATAATCTCGTGTCCATATTCTTTCTTTCTCACGGGTTTCCTTTTCTTTTTCTCTTCAACTTACAAGTGGGCATTTTCATGTATTATACGGCATACGTATGCATATTACCTAATGTAAGTTAGGAATTGGGTGGGTGGGTCTATGTTTGTTTCGAGAGAAAGCGTCATTTTTTGGGTGAAATTCGAAACTCTTGAACAAGAAGTCTTCAATGGCCAGGGAGTTTGATATGTTAGAAGCAATGCAATCAAAAAGCGATTCTATGTAAAAAGTATTTTGATGATTTAGAAGTTTAAACTATAAGTTTTAAAGCGTGATTTTGACTCCATTGGTTAGAAGGAGTACAATTGGAGGAATTTATCTTGATTATGTATTCTCATCAGAATGGTTGTACATACATATATATGGATTATAGTTACAAGAATGATATTGATGACCGCAAGTAAATTACAGCTATGGGGAAGAAGATGCGTTGGATCATGGATGAAAGAGAAACTCCTAGTACCGCCTCCACAAGGTGGGATGAAGGAGTTGCTGATACTATAAGTGAGTACGTAACGAGCATTGGGCTAGGAGTTGTTAGTAATGATGTTGAATAATGAGTGGGACATGTCGATGTTGATAAGTGATGAAATTAAAATCGATGGTAATGTAGTGTATACATCTTTCATTAATTTCCTAAGGGGTTGAGAAGTGTATACATTTTTCACACACAAGGGGGATGTCCAATACCAATAATATCCTAAGGGAGACTTTCACTATTGACATTCACTTGGCAAAAAGATGTCTCTCTCCCGTACCTTAGATGAATGATGTTCTCCGTGTCTTTGTTTGCACCGGTGATACTAGTCGACGAAAATGAAAATACATAATATTTCAGTGTGAAACTGTTTAGATGGAAGAAATTTAAGGATGAGATTTGGCCAAACATCTTGCTCCAATGATGATGAAGGCAATATGTCAATTAGTTATCAATGTGCCAAACGCAGTCGTCATGGGGGGGTTTTGGCAGGTAGAGACAAAATTTCATTTCATACAAAATAATAAGGAGCGTCTCTCATCAAACACCACAAAATTCCATAGTGGTTGGAAAATTTTACAAATAAAAAAAAACCCGCCCTCCTCCCCCCAACAAACTACTAGAAATGAGTACGAAAATGTGACGAAAATGAAAATTTTATCCCTAGAACCCACCGGCAATTTGGCAGCGATTGGTTTGTCCACGTCATCATTTCCCCACAAGGGGCTAAACAATACAAAATCAGAGAGCTCCTAAGAACCCACCTAGCTTTCCTAACTCTTCAATTTGTTTGTTTTGTTCTCAGTGCAAAATATATATATAATATATATGTTGAGAATTTCTATATAATAAGTGGTTTATATTGTATATGCAATAAATTAATCTAAAAATGTGTACATTCATTGTTTCAAATCATTCTTTTATGGTTTGAGTAGGCCTATTAATTATGCTTATCATTTTCTATATAAAAAAGTGTGAAATGGCATCATAATATATTAGATCATCTTCATATAATTTGATCTCCTGCTAAAGTTACATAAAATCTAGTATGTCGTAAACTCTTAAGTTCAAGCGAGAATTGAATATAGAAAAAAAAAATGATAACCTACGGATGATTGAAACAATAAATTTGTTAAGAAATTTTTTTGGGTCGAGATTATAGTTTTTTTTTTTGTTTTTTGCCAAAAGATTATAGTACTCTTAATTTGATGTTTTCCTAGCTTAAAATTTGCTGTTCCCCCTTTCCCTTCAATTAATTATAAAAAATAGAAACATATAAGCACTAATTATTCTATCTTGTACCAAATAATAATAATAAAAAAGGTAGAAGAAAGAAGAAGAAAATGCTCCTCTCGCCCTCCCTCCCCCATTTTATTTCTCTTCTCTCGTATCGTATGGGGAATATGACTTACCTATTACTTATAATAAATTAACCATGCTCTTCTTCCTCCTTGTTTATATAGGGAAGGGAACTGAACTTCTTGTTATATATATATATATATATATATATATATATATTCCCCCTAAGCTCATGTAGCCTGTCTTTGTTTCGGGTTCTCTCACCCAACACTACACACAGATAGACTAAGCAGTATAGCTCCTAGCTAATCTCTCCTCGATCTTCTTCAGTTTGCTTTGTTCTGCTCTGCTTAATTCGCTTCATCTCTCTCTCTCTCTCTCTAGACCTTGAGAAAAGTTCAAGCCCAGAAACTAATTAATTAAGGTAGGTGGCCGGGTAGATAGATAGAACGGAATAGGATGATGAGCAACATAAGCATGGTGGAGGGCAAGCTGCCTCCTGGGTTTCGGTTTCATCCAAGAGACGAGGAGCTGGTCTGTGATTACTTGATGAAGAAGATATCCAGCTCCGACTCCGACTCCTTCTTCTTCTTCATCGAGGTCGATCTCAACAAATGCGAGCCTTGGGATCTTCCTGGTACGTACGTAATTGTTTCTTACTTTTACTACCTGGTAATTAATTCTTACTTTTCTTCCTACACTGCCAAACTTTGTTATGGAAATTTGCTCTTATTTATTTGCAGTACATTTACTGTGTCCTTTTAAATACTGTCACTTTTTAACGATCGAGTACGTTAATTAATTTTTAGTCATTTGTTTAAATCCTATTATTGGCGAGGTCAGTTCATGGTTAATACCGTCGCTTCTTTAATTTCCAAGAGGTCAACGGTAGTCCAAAACCCTCCTCATATCTTCACGCACAACTCCTTTATTATATATATATATATAGAGCTTAATTATAATGAGCTCAAATCGTAGGCAAATATATGATACGTGAATCATCAAGGATAGATTTGTTGTGGACATTCGACTCTAGTAGAATTTTGTTACAGATACTCATTGAAAGGATTAGTAACGGAAATGTGACTAATTAATAGGGAGTAAATCCAAACTAATTAGTCATTAAGCCAATGGATACCGACAGGTAGAGAGGATCTGATTTGTTATTCAAATAGTGTGGCTGATGCTGATAAGACGATCGAGAGCATTATAGCAGCGCGCATCCCGGTAAGATCCAAACAGATGCAATTAATTAAAACAGGGTGATGAAATTGACAATTCTAGACTAATTTGTGGTCTACCATTATTACATGCATCCTTACTTTGATTCTGTTTCTGTAAACTCAGTTTCTCTCTTTCTTTTTTGCCTCTTTAGTTTGATTTTGTGACATGTACTCAACCGAGCACAATTAATTTAATACAAGCAACATGGATGAGAGTAATGGTTGAATGTATATATAACAACCACAATCATATATCAACGAAATTGTTTTAGAAATTTTTATATAGTATAATAAAATTCATGTTAACTTGATTACAGCTGCATGATAGTCGACATTCAAACGTTATATATAATATAATATAATATCACAAAAGATACGGATTTTTTGAATAAAAAATTTTATATTACAGAAACAATAGAAGTTGATATATATATATATATGCTCAAACAAACTGATAGAAGACAAAATAAGACGACTATGCTTAGTGGTAATAATTAGATTGTGGTATTGATTTGTTGTACTTTCAACCCCCTTGATATCTAACTGCTGCATAAAGAAGAACATTAATTAATCTTATTAATCAATATCATTACTTATATTACCTACTCTTTCCTAATCACTGTACATATTCATAATTATAATTAGTTAATATTAACTCAAAAGCAAATATCATGTCAAAAGTCTTTTGGGGGTCGTTTGGATGAGAGTTTTCTAAAACTTGGGATTTTACACACAATCCCACGGTTTAAAAACCTGAGTTTTTAATATGAGGAATTTTAATAAATCACTTGTTTGGATACGAACATAGGATTTTAATAAGAAATATCAAATTACAATTTTACCCTCATCTCTACCTATCCTCTTCCTCTCCTTCTCTGATTCGTTAACCCAGAAGCAAGCCAAGGCAGCCACTTTTGTCACAACAGCAGACTGCAGTGAGATCCCCTCGTTGAGAATCAGAGCATGGATGCAATTAAGATGCCACACAGAGGAACATTAAACCAACAAGTGGTTAAGAGAGGGGATTGAGTGGTGTAGGGAATTGAGTGGAGCAGGGATCCCTGCGTTTCCCAGTTTCCACACCTTGTGAGCGAAAAATCGCAGATTCTGCTGCCAATAGAAGTTCAAGCGCTCACTGTTCCGCTTCCTCCACAAGATTCCGATAGCAGCAACGCGAAAGTCTTAGGCGATTGAGAAAGAGAACGGCGCCAAGGAACTCTCCGCCGCCGCCGCAACTCATCGAGGTGTGCCTTGGCTTGCCACCATGGTACCCAGAAGCAGAGGGTCCCCCATTGGCGGTCGATTTGGGGTTCAAACCTAGAATTGACATTGGCTCCACATCGTAAACCCGAATCTCCGGCGACGCAATAGAGTGGGAGAGGAAGGGGATGTGACCAGGTGAGAGATGGAAGCTCTTCGGAAGGTAGAAGCTAAGTCGACATCGTCGGCGGATGCCTTGGGATAGAGGTGGAAGAAGAAAAAAAGATGAAGGAAGAAGAACGAAGGTGAGGGGCAACATTTGGAAATGACAAAATAAAAACGAGAGATTGTGAAATAGCTGATTGCTATCAGCTATTTCAAAAACCCACAAATGAGAGTTTTTGAAATCACTAATTACAAAATTCTGCATCTTTCCCAAACGTAGGATTGTTTTAAAATCCTGCATAATAAGGGATTGTTTTAAAATCCCTCACAAATTACTCACCACAAACCTGCATCCAAACGACAATTGACAGTAGCAAAGGTAGGGGGAAAGAGACGGGTAGTGCATAGACCCAACCAAAAACGTCATACTTACCTGAAAAATGAGATTTTGTTCTTATTCTCTGTAGTTTAGTACCTTAATTATTTTCCCATCTTTATAATATATTTTTTCCTGTCACATGTGTGAGGTATGCACGTGCCACCTTCGACTTGGGTATCTAACAATTAATCTTGGGTTCTCATCACTTACTTCAACCATTACCTTAATCCAATAACTCATTTTGTTTAAGTCTCCAAAGTACATTCACCAAACACGAAAAAGTCTGTGTGAAATTCCAAGTAGATCAAAAGTTAGAGTACTCTGATAGATAATGTGAGGATAATTACATCTAGCACACATTCAGTAAAACTGTGAGAAGAATAATATTTGTATGATCGATTGCTACTTGATCATTTTGGTAATTATATATGCCAATCGAGAGTTTAGTGATTGAACTTGGGAGATTTGTCGATGTAAAGTATGGTGGTATTTTGGTGAAGTGAGAGTGCAATCTTTGATTATTTTGTGATATATGTTATTCTTTAAAACGAGATGCAAGTAGTGATCATTATGCAAGGTAAGTACTTTGTTATGATTTTAATTAATTGTACAGTGATAACAATGAAATAGATATAGGCCAAATAACTTTTAGTATGAGATGCCCACATATATGCCGTAAGCAAATGGGAACCCACAACCCATGGCATAGAACAAAAATTATATTAGAATTTTAAATTAATAAATTTATGTCACCGTTATAAAATAAAACAAAAAAGAATAAATTATTAGAATTTTATATGAATTACTATTAGTTGAAAATAAAATAAAATAGAATTGTAAGTTGTCAAGTGGTAATTTAACTCGTCTAGATTTTGCTCCAATAATTCTCCACATATCCCTCCATTAGACATTGACCTCTCAACTAGGGGTGATAAACGGTTAGTCGGTTATCGGTTTTAACCGATAACCGAACCGATAAAGTCGGTTAGTAGTTAACCGATAATCGCTACTTCCTTATTGATTTCGGTTTCGGTTAGTAGTATTTTGGTTAGTGGTTAACCGCTAACCGATTAATCGGTTAGCGGTTAACCGATAAGAAAACCGATAACCGCCTACTAGTGTGACTACATGGTTTTTTACTTTGGCTAAGGGAAAAAGTTGTAAGATTCAAAACCAATCAAAGTTGCAATTCCAAACATCACAATTCTCACCTATTGCAAACAACCCTCCATCAAGAGTCTCAAATGTTTTTAAGAGTTAGAACTCGAAAGTCACCCCTCTCTAAATCCCCTTTGCACTCGATAGAGTGAACCTTAGGTTGTTGATGACTATGGGCTAGATGAAGATCTTGGATTAAATGATGACTATGGGCTAGATGAATTGGAGCGAGATCCTCGGATCATTTAGGTTGATGATTTGGAGATAATGAACTTGTTATTTGTGTCTTGTTGTGATTGTGACTTGTGGTTGAATTGTGGGCATGTAGACTTTATGTTGTGGAGTTGTGGTTGATTGTGTGGTTGCTTTAGGCTTTATGTTCAATTGATTTAGATGACTTTATGGTGTGTGATTATAGAGGCTGAAACAAAAGCAGGTCACTCAAAATTGAGGGTGAATCATTAAAAAAGGTGGTTGAAATTCGGTTTTGGGTGGTCGGTTTTTGAACGAAAATCGAGAAAGTGAACCAGAACCTGCGGTTTCGGTTAACCGCAAGGGAAAACCGAAACCGATGTTTGCGGTTTTCGGTTAACCGAAGTCTCTATCGGTTTCGGTTTCAGTTAGTGATCTTGGGACAATTTTGGTTGCGGTTAACCGATATTTCGGTGCGGTTAAACCGAAACCGCACCGACTAACACCCCTAAGCAGAAATAGGAGAAGGGACAGCACAGTAAGTCAAAGAATGGAACTTACTGTTTCAACCATCCATCCACCCTCAAAGAGAAATCCCACAGGCTCGTAACCTCGGCAATCGAACATCATCAATCCTGTATACTTCCCAGCTTCACTGAGTTCCTGGGTGAGTGTTTACCTTTCCCCGGGATCAAGGACACAGTTCCTTCCCTCTCACAAAACTTGCACTGTGGAGAGTGAAGTGCGATGGACAATAATAACACAACCATTCATTACAAAGGAAACTAGCAACACATCCAATGATTCAAGTTTTCAAAGCAATGAATAATCTTGATAACCATACCAAATCGTAACGAGCAGGAAAATGCCATGCATCACACAAGAAGGTATCACCAATATTATTTTACTAGAGTACAATTGAAGCTTAATCGCAGTCCTGAATTACCGACATGACCTTAGCCACTGTAGCAATTGGAACTACTCTGTGCTTACTGCTAGCAAGATCCATCCTCATAACTGATTGATACGCCTATGTATGCTAAGCACACAACATTTAACAGATCATAACCACAAATAAGGACGAGGCTGACAAGATAAAGAGTAAAACCAGAAGTGGTTACCTTCTGAACAAGATTAGCAGTGCCCTTGCTACCCGGAATTTGAACCGATCTCTCCAAAGCAACACAAGTTTCCTTATCGGTCAGCTCCCCGGCTTCCACATTTCATCTACAACATCTCCAAAATCCTCGCGTCAGATACACGAACAAGCCTAATCGCCATTCACAAACTAATTCGCACAAACAGATGCTCGACAAAATTTCAGATGAAGACGAAATAGAAGCGTCTCAAGCGAGGAGCCAAGCGAACATCTCGAAATCGATGGAGGCGATCAGAAACGAAAAACCCTAGGACTTGATAAACAGAAGTTTACAGAGCTATATAGAAGAGAAGGAAGATAAAGAGTAGATAGAGGTTTGAAAGGGAACCTTGAAGAAATAGGTGAAAGAAGGATCGTCGCAACCGCCCTGAGGCTGGAGAGTGGCGACGTTCTCAAACTCGGCAGTGATCATCAGCCAGTAGTTCACCATGTTCGGATTTCGCCGTTTCAGAAATCAAGCGAAGCGAAGCTCTCTTCAAACTCTTCGCGTCTCTCTTACTGTGGTATATTGCGAATGTGAATCTCTTCCCACGCCAAGAGTCGAGCACTAGCAAATGAACTGATCGGCTGCTATAAACAAAGCACAGTAACAACATAACCTCCACGCTATAATGTTCGTTTGCAGATGGGTTGAAACTCGGGAGTCAACGACGACTATACTGCGGTAATGGGCCCTGGTCCCTGGACCTGGGCTTGCGCATATAGTTAGAGCATCAATGCAAAGCAATTATTTTTTAATGGCAATTCAATTCTTTTGCAATTCACCTCAATTCTTTTCGTTCACCTACATCAGTATAATTAATTTACAATTGCATATATAATTACATATTATATTAAACTATAAAAATAAATAAAAAATTCCATGGTTCTAGGCCTTTTGACTTGCAATTGCATTTGTTAGTCATATCAATGTCATGTCATCTTGCAATTGAGATTGCAATACCAATGTGGATGCTCTTAATGAGTTGGCAAGCACACTATCGGGAAACCCCATTACCGTCTTTGTTCGGTTCAGAAAACTAACCCAAAAGTAGTGTCGGTTGGATTATTTCCAACTAAATGATTGGATTCGATTGGATAGCAACGGTGATGACTTCTTTTTTTCATCCTTATTTCATATCCATTTTGAGTGGGTTGTAAAGTTGGGAGCCACCGAGTTTGGGGTGAGTTTTTCTAAACTACCCTCGTCTCCATTTCCAAATACTAAATCTACCACCAACTCAGTATACTTTTGCAGGTTTTATCTATATTTGGAATTGTTAGTTTAATTGTCATCCTGAGTTGACTTAGAATATATGTTTGGCCCTAAGTTTTCTTATGGCTAGGGATCTATAATGGTTCGATCCAAAGGCGACCGAAACTCATTAGAATGGTGGTCTAGTAGTGAAAGATATCTTAGAAGCAAAAAACCTGACCACCATTGCATCCTGTCAGATTTGAAATTTCTATAGAATGTCAAGGGTGGTTTGGGACCTCCAACTGCTAAACTAGGGGTATAAATCGAAAGAGCTATTGTGTTTTGGTCAGAGCTCGAGAATTGGCTATCGACAGTCAAAGACGGACTATTGAAAGTCGATATTCATACCATCAAATATACGTTCAATTTAGATCATTTAGCGGGTACCAAAATTGGTGGTTCGAATGGAGTTTTTTTTTAATGGAGAATGGAGTTATGATCGTAGACACGGTGCTACTCTACTGATCTCCTAAGCTATGAGAAATCTTTTCGGTGCAAATATCAATTCTATCCATTTTTTCTATATTTATAAAATTCATACGAATACATTATATTACATTCGATCCAATTCAGTATGATGTATTTTCAAGCATCGGACCAGAACAAAATAAACCATTGCACACACTGTCGTTCCCAGAAGAAACTACAAGTGCCCTTAGATCATCTAAGGTAGCTAGTTGCCTCGGTTTAGTAGTAGACTCAAACAAATATAGCAAAACTGAAGAAAGATGGAAAGCACATTTTAGTATTTTACTCTAGGGGCACTGTTCATATCGATGCGTTAGTCCTCCAGCACGCGGCATATCTACATTCCAGAATAGCCTCTACTAAAGTTAAATGGATCAAAAGTCCAAAACCCCACTACAAACAACAATAATCGATAAACAGCAAAAATTGCATACCATTACAGGGAATCCAAGCACCTGACTAAACGATTCATTTTGCTTCCTCTCTTCTTGTATCGACTGAAAGATCCGAGCTGCTGATTCAGTTGCAGACCTGGAGTTATGCGGCACGACCCTAATCACCCTAGAGACGTTACCTGATCGTTGAGGAGCAGCTCCAAATGCAGAAGGAGCTCTTGGGAAAAGTTGAAAGATGCATCATCTCTTATATCACCCCGCTGCTGAATGCTACCGACTACTTCCACTCTCTCGCTAATGCTACTCGCGGTGCTTCTTTGCAGCTCAGCTTCTTTAGAAGTTACCCGGATCTCCGCCACTGAGACAGCCCCACTCTTCTGAGTTAGCACTTCCACGTTATGTTGAACGTTGAAATTCGCCCCACTTCCAGACAACTGACTGATTTGACCATGGGAACCCGATCCTGGGAAGCAGTTCGACTGGTCAACTGCTGAACCCGAGAGAGCGGAGCTCATGACTGACATACCATATGGAGGGAAGCAACCCATTCCCTGTTGAAAATAAGTTGGAAGTCCGTAGCCTGGGTTCATGAAGTTTCCCATTACAGGAGGAGGGCCGTATGCTCCATATCCTCCACAACCAGGTCCCATTTGTCCAGGGGGTGCATAAGGTTTGTACACGAGTCCTTCGGTAGGGGACATGACAGGGACCAACCAGTGCTGGCCAGTGGCTTGGTGGAAATTCCATGAACTCGTCGTGTTGTTGCTGTCTGTGATTGCGGGAACTGGAACTTGGTTTCCTACATGAGGCGGCCTGTAGGTTGTTGGTGGCTGACTATGGTTTCCAAGAGACTTCCCAACAGCATTCTCTGCAGAACCTTCCATCTTATTATGACTAGGTTCTTGTGAATCATCTTTTCTTTTGGTACCACGCGCTGGCTGCAGCAGGACGTACTCGGCTTGAAGTTTCTTCATTGGAGAGCCAGGAATGGATGATTTTGTGAGGAAGTTGCTCTCTTCCACCAAAAGATGCGGAGCACCAGCGATCAATTGTTGAACCTAAATAAACATGTGAAGTGATTTTCATACTACTGTGCATAGTCATGTTTTTGGAATGGAGAATACCTTTTGTCCCACAAAAGCTAGTTAGAGAAATACTGCTATAGTGTGTTACCTTGATGAGTCTATGCAACTCAAACACTTGAACCGCAAAAACTCTTTGTTGACTGCAGAGAGAGGAAGAGGAATTTGATTATGAACAGACAAATCAAACAAAAGTTCGTTATGCCAAAAAAAAAGTTTGGTAAGAGAACTCCGGTGCAAGCAGCAATGCAATATAAACAACAGAAATAGTTTAAACGTCAACTAGCAATCAGGTTGGGTACAGCATTGCTAAAATGGTTGAAGATATCATTACGAATAATGAACACGAAGACTGCTATTTTCAAAAAGAAATAGCACCTGTAACTACTTGCTTGCTGAAAGCATGGAAGCTGCGCCACACAATTAAGTGCGTAGTAAAACAATATCCTTAAATGAACAATACCAGAGGCTGAATTTCTCACATGACACACATGTAGTATACTCCAGCCTTGGACAACTTAGTTTTTTTTTTTTTTTTCATATGCACATACACCAAACTTTCTGAAAGGGCTCGTGGCCAACTAGATAACAGGAATCAAGTGTCTATAATTCTTATACCCTGGAAGAGAGAGCTTGACATATATGTTAGTGGCTGCGAAATTCAGATATAAACAGAGGCCATAACAGTAGATCATCCAATACAAGAAGATAAGCCAGGAACTCAAATTTTGAATTCAACCATGCTGACACAACGTTTCCATGCCTTCTACTTGCAGAACTCTTCCGGGAAGGATAAAAGTAGCTCATGCGCTTGAAATAAATTTAAATAATTGATGACACATGTTTCCCAACATAAAACTAAAACAAATTTATGCCAAGACCTGGCATTCCTACAACATAACTCTCCATTTTCCCATCTGCAACTCACCTACTGATAGCTCCAGGAACCATCTCCAGCAGATGTTGGTTACGTGCTAAAGGCCCTCGAGGATAAGTAATTTGCCCAGTGGTCAGAAAGAAAATATGCAATCCTATCCAAGATAGGAGTATAACCAAAGAGAACAAAGTGCTAAAGAACTAGATATATAAGACGATCTACTATCCCGGGGGCACCTTGAACGAAGTACCTCAATCACCATTATCACTACCCCCTGTCGCAGGAACTTCCACATTGAAATGTTATCAAGGGCTTGAGCACCAAAAACACGCCAGATTGGTTGGAGACTCCCCACTATCTAGTTCTCCCTTGCCACTGACCATGATAATTGCAAAATAGGCAATCATTTCATTCCTACAGTTAACATTCTGCCTGACATTTAAACAATCTAACAAAGTCAGATTGTGTAAATATGAAGAGAAGTAACCCAAGAAACAAGGAAATGAGGAAGCTCTAGACACTCCATCTCCATTACTATTGTGACATACATATGGAGCAGCCAAATAGTCCTCTAGACAAAACTTAATAACAAATTTGAACAATAATTGTCTAAACAACCTCATAATTTCTTAGTAGCAAACTGGGCGAAGGAAAGACCAGACCTTAGACGGGTTCAATCAGTATGGCAGATAAAATTCCCCAAGCTTCAAGATTTCAAATGTAAGACAATATATAGCTAGATTAGTTCCCAGATAAATAAACGCCTTCAACATGACAATATTGCAAAGTAAAAATCTCACGACAGACTTGCACGTTTTGTAACTACAAAAAGAAGGCAGGTCTCAATTTTTCATGATGAGTTACAATACTTACTTGACAATTGCTCTTCTAGCTTTCCAGAAATGTTTCTGACCAATCATATCCACAACATCATCCGGAGATATGTCCAAGGGTTCGGCAGAGTCAACAATGGATGTGTCAGATGCATCGTCCCCTTTATCAGTATTTCTCACTGGTATTGACACGTCCACCTTGGTAACACAGGTGCCACTGCCCTCATTGGGTGTACATGGCTCTTCACAAGAACCCAAGCTGTCCTTTCGCACAAGGACATCATTTTTCTCTGTTCCCCTTCGCCGCATCTCAGGAACAGCATCACCAAGTGCACATACATTTGACTGCAACCATGCAGGCTGCTGTTGATTACCATGAGAACGTTTTTTCGGGTGTACAATTGCTTCATCCCCAGACTCAGCAAAATTTTCTCTAGTATGCAAATTATCACTTGAAATGCATGGATTTCCTCCATGTCTTGAATGGGGATCAATGGATGACGCACACTGGGTATCAATATAGCCAGTATTCTGAGCTTTGTTGGAATGACATGAATGCATCGAGCTAAATGGAGCCAGCTCTTCCACATTAGAACGTTTTCTCTGCAACTTGGACGCACCTGTATTTACAAATACTGGAACAGTGAAATCATCTTCGTCTCCGGCCTTCTTCCTCTGCTCACGTGGCGCCAAAGAACTGTTCAAGTTCCCAGCACCGGGCTGGAAAGAAGGCAGTTGATCGGCTAGAGTTGGTGGCGAGGATAAAGTCCTTTCAAGCCTACTCGCCTGCACATATGATGGTAATCAGTCTTACGGCATTCTACAAACTATTCTACCCATTCGATCAATATTCACAATCCCTTAAGATAACAGTGGGCAAAGCGTCACCTGGCTGGAAGACCCGGCAGGAGCCAAGTTACTTGGATTACGAGGCAAAACCCCAGAATTAAACCTTTGAGATGGAATGCTTAGCTGCTCATAAAGGGCCATCTTGTTCCTTGGAGGCGCTCTTGGGCCCCCTTTCTCTGTATCATTCACATGGAGCCTCGGGAATAATGGCCCCATCATCTTCTCATCGTCTTTCCCTCTCTTCATCCCAACTCTCTCTCTCTCTCTCTCTCTCTCTCTCTCTCTCTCTCTCTCTCTCTCTGATTCCACCTAAGCTTTTGAAATGAACAATCAACCACCTTCCATAAGCAACTGGAAGAACTATTTCGCCGAACTAACTAAAGAACCACAGAATCAGAAGCAGCAACAAACCTCGAGTAATCCACAACGACCAAATCTCAACTGGGTAGAGATCAGGATTCCAGAAGCAACAACCCTCTCACCTAGAAAGACGAAAAGGAGAATAGAAGGCTTGAAAAAGCGACGGCGGCGAGAGACCCAAGCTGCCGGCGAGAAAATGAAACAAAGAGAAGAAGCTGAAATTAGGAGGGAGAAATCGAAATCGAAATCGGGAGAGAGAAGGGGGATTCTGTGAACGTGGGTTGGGAAATCAGTTATGCGAGATTTCGGCGAGGAATTGGTAAAGAGGAAAGGGCGACCGGCGGAAACGGGTCGGTGAGGATACACGAGGGATTTCAGGGGAGGAAACGGAGAAGAAAGACAGATGAAAACAGGTGTGGTGAATGGAGGAAAAGGCGAAAAGGGAAGCGATGGAAGAGATCAAAAAAGCGTTCTATTGTGGGACCCAGTCGGGTGTGGATAGACCTAGAAGAAGTGATTGCCCTTTTGTGTGTTGTTTATTGCATTTTTATTTTTAATACGTTCTTTTGACAGCTCCCCAAATCTTTTATTTTGGTAAGAAAATGGGTGCAAAGTGACTAGGGATGACGTCGGGGGTGGGAATGAGTTATGGTGAACGGTGATATCATTTGATTAACTGTTTTTTTTTTAATCTTATGATTAAGATTTTTTTGGGTAATTTTGAAAATGAAAAAGTGACCACACACGATTATTCTATATAATCTATCAAATTTTAGTTCTATCCTCTTTTCAGGTGACTACTTAAACTCAATATGGGTCCAACAGGTGGACATCCAATACTTGGTCGCCTTATATTTTTTGGGAGCCCATAGCGAACTAGTATATAAAAGAGTTTGGCGTTGTGGTTCACAAGATACTAAGACCAAACACTCTCTTCTTCTCTTCACGTGGAAGATTAGAACATCAGGCATAGGAGTTAAGGTGGCTTGGTTGAGGAAGGTCGCAAAATCTCATGAATCGTGCTTTAGGAGTATCGTCCAGTTCAAAGTCGTCGTTCATATTCCACATCAAGACTCTGACGATCTACCATCATAAAAGATTTGTCTTAGAGAGAAAACTCATGAGCACATAAAATTGATGAAATATGATATATCTTCACTTAAACAGAAGTGAAGTGTTGATAAATGTCACTCTTTGCTATCTTACAAACGTTACTTATATAATAAATAACTTCTACTCAATGACATACCTATCGTCGACCATGATGACCGACTTCATACTACGAGTGATTATACATATCCTTGAAGTGACTAGATATACACTTATCGAAATAAAAATTAATGAACTTATATAATTAAACGATGGGACAATCAATCACTCCCTACGCTCACACTTAGGTGTTGTGAACTTCAACTCGTTGACCGTTGTAGGAGTGGAATTGCATAAAAATCAAACTAAGCATCACATCGGCCCAATTAATAGACATCGTACAATGAGGATGGGATGGGCGAAAGCCGTTATTGGGCCGTTGTAATTTGTAAGTGCTCCTGGCATGGAAAATGAAGGGAGCCCAGCGAGGTCCATCCGAACTCAGAAGTAGCCACTTCTACTCTGTATAGAAAGTCTATCATACGATTACCAAATAAACAATCAATAATACGTGATGAGATTAATGGTGAAAATGTGATTAAATAATAAATTAATAGTTACTTAGATTAATTTCCAATTGTCAGCTAGAAATTAGTTAAATTTGATTTTCCATTGACGGAAAGTAATTAATAGATTTTCCTATTTTATATTTTATTTCCATTTGGACAAATGAGCAACAACAGCTGGTTTCCGTTTCACCTCATTTTCCCAGCTGTATATATACGGGTAGCGGCCGGTGTGTTTTCCCTCGCCTTCTGCTTGTTTGTTAGTGATAGTCCGTAGCCGGGAAAACCCAAATGGAGACGACTTAGCAAAAACCACCGGCGAAGGCGAAATTCAGCAGTGCTCTGCAAGAGAAAAGCTAGCAAAGAAACACTTGCGCTGCAATCTTGACGGTTACTTGGATCAAATGGCGTCGTCGTCTTCTTCTCCCGCCTCCTCTTCCCATCCGCCGCCCATTCCTCCGGTTCCGAACGCCGGTAATCCAATTCCTCCTTCGCTCTTGCTTTGCGCTTTCCTTCTGTTAGCTCGCTTGAACTTGAGCGAGCGAAGAAACTAGAATGGAGTTCAATTGGAATCCGAATCCCTTGATTTCTTTATCGCGTTTAGCTTCACTGTTTTGCCTGAACTGTATGAATGATCGTTCGTTCGTTAGCGAAACCGGTTAGAGATTTTCTTGGTGCTTAACTTGATTACTATCATTCATCGCAGGCGGTGGAAACCTAGATCACGATGCTCAGTTCCCGCCGCTTCCGGTTCTAGTCGTCACCGAGCCTTCTCAACTTCCAGTTGAGTTCCTTAACCCGTCGCCGGACCATGAACTCGTCGTCGGCTTTGATTGTGAAGGCGTTGATCTCTGTCGCACCGGAAAACTATGCATTATGCAGGTAAACGATTTGTATAGCCGGAAAACCGTTTCCGACGTCACTCTGCTTTCTTCTTCGTTTCTGTTAGTGTGTGTATAGATTCGGTAGAATCTTCGTGCTTCTCTGGATCGTTAAGTATGGAATCCGTTTATTGCGTATATTTCCTGCGAATGCGATAATGGCGATCCAAAATGAAATTGATTCTCTGTTTCCAGCGTTCCTGCGTCCTTGTTTCTGTTAGTGTGTGTATAGATTCCGTAGAATTACGAGCTTCGGTGGTCAGTCAAGTATGGAGTCCGTTTCTTGCGTATCTTTCCCTGCGATCACTGCAATCCAATTATGGACTCTACTCTCTGTTTCCTAGCCTTTCTGTGTCCTTGCTTCTCTTAGTGTGTGTATAGATTCTGTTGAATCTACGAGATCGGAGATTCTGTGGTTTGTCAAGTATGGAGCCCGTTTCTTGCCTATCTTTCCGTATGCTCGATGAAATCCAATAATGGACTCTAGTTCCTTGTTTGTGCCTTCTCACTGGTTTTCTTGCCTGATGGCAGCTTGCGTTTCCAGATATCATCTACATTGTTGATGCTATTGACGGAGGGAAGGCAGTTATGGAAGCTTGTAAGCCTGCACTGGAGTCGAGTCATGTCACAAAAGTAATCCATGATTGTAAAAGAGACAGTGAGGTCTGTATTCAGTGATCTTATTATGTTTCTTGCAGCTCCTTTAGATTGACTGCTAGCGAATGTTCACATTTTGTTCTGCTGATCTTTTGCTGTAGGCATTGTACTTTCAATTTGGCATTAAACTGCATAACGTCATCGACACTCAGGTAACGAGATTCTCAACTTGCTGTAGGCCTGTATCTAGTAGATGGAACTCTTGCCCTGAAGCTGTTACATTGGATCCATCATTTAAATCTTAGTTCAGCCTGTTATCAGTTATGGTAGTTCAGTATATGAGTCTTCAACTATTCATGACAAATGTTACCTATCCACCATTCTTTTGTCCAGATGTTTATACATTTTTACTCTACTTTTGCAGATTGCTTTTTCACTGATAGAGGAGCAGGAAGGACGGCACAGAGCACCAGATGACTACATATCGCTTGTTAGCCTGATTGCTGATGCAGACTATTGTGGTACTTACTTAATGTTTTGGATTTATTATATCCATTCATTATGGTGCTGAACTCTAGTCATTAGCTAGAATCATGTTAGAATGCTTGTCACTAGTAGCAAATCCTTCCTACTGATCTATGTTTAGGGTGGATCATCTGATGTGGACTAGATAGATATTCAGGCTGCATGTGTTGGTTTGTAAAAATGATATTGATGGGGCTACGCTGTCTAACGTTCCTCTGTATAAAAGGACATAGTTGTCAGCTGTTAACCATCAATCAATATATAGACAGACACAGATAGCTCTGCATGGACTTAGGTACTCCTGTGCAGTTGTGTAAAACTTTGTCTTCAGTCTCTTTGCCTCTTCTGTCAGATCGCTCTCCATGTGCTGCGAAATTGTTGTGAAGTGAATGTATGGATATTTGCATCATTCTCCTCTTCGCTCCTGATGAATGATAATGGCTCACATTTCAGGTGTAGAATATGCGGAGAAGGAAGAGGTTCGTGTTCTTCTTCGGCAGGTCGGTTAAAACATATCTATCCTTCGAATAGTTAATAATGGATGAGTTTCTCTTTTAGGATCTGTAGTTGACCAGATTTCAGTAATCAAGGTGTTAGATTAGGGTTGTCATCCTTCATATTTGATGTCATGTACTGTTTCTTGTCATTGAAATAGATTCTGTTTGGCATGTGTACATAAGGGTGTTAGCGCTCGCCTAGCTAAGCTTCACTTGTTTGCAATTGAGTCACTGCATGAAGTTTTATATGACTTTTCCCTTGTGCTCACTGCTTATCATCAGGACCCTAAGTTCTGGGAGTACAGACCACTTTCTGAGATGATGATACGTGCAGCTTCCGATGATGTCCGCTTCCTCCTCCACATCTATCAGAAGATGAAGGAGAGACTAAATGAAAGATCGCTATGGTGCCTCTCTGTTCGTGGTCAACTTTACTGCCGGTGTTTCTGCGTCAATGACAATGACTATGCTGATTGGCCACCTCTCCCTGTGCTTCCAGGTAAGTAGAGTGTATTTTCAGCTTTGTGTTTTTTATACTCCACAGATAGCCATGCCTAGTTAATTAATAGAGACTGATCTACTTGTATCCTTATAGTACTTGGCTTATACTTCGTGGTTACCAGTTTTGATTCTTGCATACACAGTGAAAAATTCTAGTGGTTAATTTGAGTGCATAATGTCTTCTAATTTAATGCGTCCACTACTGTCTGCATGACTTGTCTAGAGAAAGATGAAGGAAATAATGATGGCCCTGAGGAACAAATCCTCACTGTTGTCAATGTTCCACCTGGACAAATGGGACTTGTAATTGGAAAAGGTGGATCTACAATTCGGTTCATAAAGGAATCCTGCAAGTAGGCTCTCTCTCTCTCTCAGCTTGATCTGTTTACCAATTCTTGGCCAGCTAGGCACTTACGTTTATTGAAATGGATAATTCGCAGTGCTGAAATTTTCATGGGAGGATCAAGGGGTCCACCTGATAAGGTGAGATTTTCTAACCACCATTCCGAGGCATAGGGTCTCGCAATGGATCTAGCGTAAAAAAACCCTGCAGCTAAACATATTATATCATCATTGCAGAACTTTGTTACCTTTTCCACTAGTTGGCTTTTGATATTGTCACCATAAGCTGCATTATTTTCTTGCTCGTAGGTTTTCGTAATTGGATCCGTGAGAGAAGTGATGAAAGGAGCAGCAATTGTGAGGGGAAGGCTGATCACCTTCTGATTCGTTAAACTGACATGCTCGCTTCATCTTTGTAATAACCCCATTGTGAGTTCTCCCA